CATGCAACTTGTGACTGACAATGAATAAAAAATGGACTTATAATACTTACATAAAAAATTTTAGTCGCACCAAATTTTGACAAGCTTTCACAAGAAAACATTTGGGCGTATTCTTGTTTTCGTACGAATCGAAAATATTGAAATTTTTCTATACAAAAATTTCAAATACGCCTCATTATAAATAAATTTAGAATTTAAAAATATTAAATTTTTTGGTTCACAATGACGAATTGATATTGAAAATACCCTTTAAAATATTATTTTTTTTTACGGTATTATAATTTTTTCAAAAATAAATACTGCAAATTTGCAAGGATACTCAAGAACAAAATTTTAAAAGGACATTTTCAATACCTATTCGTCCTTATGCACAAAAAAAGTTTATATTTTTCAACTCTACAGAATTTTTGATATCCATTTATTATTCTATATAGCACTGAATTTTTCGAACTAATCAAATCTTTGAAATTCCCAAGTCCTTTAAAAAATCCTGATGCCAGAGAAAGAAACTAAAAACGCAGTTTTACTATATTCTGCTCCTAGTTTTGGGAGTACATTTATGTATATATTATTTTGTGCAAAATTTACTTTTGCTCGGTGTATTCCATGCTATCAATAACTTGATTTTTTTTAGTGACTTATGCCACTTTCAAAATATACATTTTCGTTATACCGCCCAATAGTAAAACTTCCCTCGAACAAGACCGCAGTAGTTCTCAATTGGTGTTATCATACACTAGATTTTTTTGAAAATGTGACTTATGCCACTTTCAAAATAAACGGCTTATTTGTTGGGTGTTTTATTTTTCGTTCACCAAATAATTGTTATCTGATGAGTACAACTTTAGAGTTAAATAAAGTACACGGAAACGGAAGCAATGCTTGGAACACTGGTGTCGGAAACATCGATGAAAAGGAAGGCATAACGGACGTGACAAAAAAGAGGTGGTTTCAGAGTACATGTTAAAATAAGCAAAACTCTGTGAAACCTGTGAGGTTTTCCTTTCTTAAACATTCTTTAAATAAAGTCAAATTGCCAATTCCAACGAATTAATTTTTAGTCAGAAGGAATTCGTTGTTGGTTATATTTTGAATTAAAATGTGATAACGGACCTGACATATCGGACGTGATCGATTTTTCTCCTATATATTATTTTTACTAATAATACATAAGTAATTAAATTTTTTACCTAATTTTTTCAGTTCTTCTCTCCACCATTTTGCGTTTTCATAACCACTTTTCGCCGCTGTGGTGCAGTGCGCGCTTCCACTCCGCAATGCCTGGGTTCAAGCCCTAGTCAAAGCAACATCGCAAAAAAATATAGAAAAAGGTTTTTTCTTAACAGCGGTCGTCCCTCGGCAGGCAATGGCAGACCTCCGAGTGTATTTCTGCCATGAAAAACAGCTTCTCATAAAAGGAAAAATCCTGTAGAATTTAAATTTTAATTTTTTGTTTCACCAGGACGAATAAATGTTTAAAATGTCCTTTTAAGACTTCATCCTTGAATATCCTGGGAAATTTCCAATATTAATTTTTGAAAAAAATATATGTCAAGGACTAATATGTAAACTATCACATCCTCGAATTTCGTCCTTCTAACTTGATTAGTTTTAGATAAAAAAAATGTTCACTTCTCTTTATAAGATATTGATAGTTACAACATACTTAAATGAAGATACTAGAATCATTACACTGTACAGCACTCCGATGCGTATTGGACCAAACCAATTTTTTTTTTAAGAGATTGAGTCATAGGTAAAAAGTAATTTCTCCGTTTTTCGAAGTTAGCCTCCGAAATCGAGATATGGGCCTTCGAAGTTCGAAATAAGATCTTTGGTAAAAAATTATTTTTTATTATTATACATATGTAAATAATTAAAAAAACTAAAAAAAAATCGTAGACCGCCTTTTGCTCTTATTTAAATGGTTTATAACTTTTTTTTTTTGCAAACTTATATTACAGGTGCTATAAGGGGGCAAAGGTCGGATCTTCAAAAAATTAAAAACCTTATATTTCAAACAATTTTTAACTGGTTTTTAAAAAGTTGGTATTTTTTTAAACGTGATTGCACCCCCTTCTCCTCTTCTGTTATGCATATTTGTATACTTTGTATGTAAAAATTTGAGAAAAAACACTTAAAAGGAAAGAATACATTTTTTTATAAAATAATAAAAAAAATAAAAAAAAAATTTGAGAAGAAACACTTGAAAGCAAAAAATACCCCTTTTTATAAAGAAAAATATTAAAAAAAAAAAATTACTAACCGATTTTTAAAAAATTGGTATCATTGTAAAGGCTACCAGAAAACTTACACTTTCTTAAACACAAAAATTTCGTTGTATATAATAATAATATATATTTAAAACATTTTTTCCCTCTATATAAACTCTTGCCCCCCTAGATGAAAGGCTGGCTACGCCCTTGTACACAAAATAAATCAAGTATTTAAATCGTAGGTATATCCTACGGTCAGTTTGTTCTTTTATGATTCAAATATCTTTATTTATGTATATTGTAACTATCAATATCTTATTAAGAGAAGTGTAAAATTTTTTTATCTAAAACTAATTAGTCCTTGACATATATTTTTTTCAAAAATAAATATTGGAAGTTTCCAAGGATATTCAAGGATAAAGTTTTAAAAGGACATTTTCAATACTTATTCGTCCTGGTGCACCCAAAAATCAACTTTTTTTTTCTATTCTACAGAATTTTTCCTTTTAATTGATACCCATATTGTTATTGTACAATGCACCGAATCTTTAGAATATTTTTTTTTATTCAATCTTATTCTAAATATTTCAGTCTCTTTAAAAAAAAAATCCTGACGTCAGAGCGAAACACTAAAAACGCAGTTTTACTATATTTGGCCCCAGTTTTGTGAATATATTGATTTTTTCGTGTGTTAAATTGACTGTCGCACGGTGTAATCCCATGGCCCAAAACTATACAGAATTCCCAAAACTATACAGGATTCCCAACATCGCGGTACAAACACTTCGCGGTGGCGAACGCGAGTGTTAGCTCAACCAGCCACCGGCGGAGCGCCCTGCAATTGCTGTTGATAGAGAGTGAGAAGCAACGACAACGTCACCGTCAAGAATGATAGAATACAAGATTGCGCCAATCGAGCTGAGAGCAACTGGGTGTGACTTCACATTATTTTTAGAATGAGAGTGTAAAGAATAATTTTGAAGAAGATGAAGAAGCGAACAAGTGGTGCGAAATAGTGATGTTAAACTATGTGGAATCGTCACCGTCATGCGTACGATGTAGCGAAACAAAGGTGGTGCCTTCCGCGGACCGTTAATCCTCTCTTTCTCGGTTTGACAGCATCCATCCTTTCGCTGACGTCACATTATTATTTTTGAGCACTAGTGATGAATATTAAATATTCATATTGTACCTATTTGACGAAAAGTTGTACCGAAAAGTAGATACACGTACCTAAACAGTAAACATGTACTTTTATGTGCATATATTTTTGTCACTTGGTGGACTACATCTTCCATCTGTACCATAAAAACTTTTTGGCTTACATGAAACAATATTTTACTACGTTCCAAATGTACCTAAAATAACGTGATTGTACCGAATGTACGTTCAAATTTAAGAAGCTGAAGAGTAGGTACAATTCTTCCTAGTTTTACATCACTATTTCGCACAACTTGTTCGCTTCCTCCTCTTCTTCTTCAAAATTATTCTTTACACTCTCATTCTAAAAATAATGTGGCATCACAACCAGTTGCTCTCAGCTCGATTGGCGCAATCTTGTATTCTACCATTCTTGCGTCATTCGGTGGTGCGTTAACGTTAACACGAGAATCCCATAAGATATGTAATTCGTGTCACGGTGTACGGTTTTACGTCGGTAGCTGGTTGAGCTATGTTTTAGAAAGCCTTAACAGTACTCAGAAGAAACCTCACCTACGCGGTTTTGCATTTTGTTGATACGCGGTTTTGTACTTTAAACGACGATATATATAAGTGCATACAATTTTAAAACGAAAGTGACTTCTAATGCGAAACGGGTGCCGTTTATCGTATTCTGTCTCCCTGTGATAGAAAAACAAAGATGTTACGTAATTCTTAACAGCATGCAACATTTGATGCTTTACATATCGTCGCTACCATGTCAAACTATCGAATATGAAAATGGGTACTTTTCACGATAGCAAAAAAAAACGGTTGTAAAAATTGTTGTGGGATTCGACACTTTGTTAAAGCCAGTATCCTCTGCTTCTAAGAAGACTCGAAATTTGACGATTTGGCAACTTGCCAAACACTCTAGACGCATGCGCAATTGAAAAAGCATTTTTGAACATTCGTAGTTTGACATGTAGCGACGATATACACAAGTTTATGAAACTTAACAGTTGGGGCATGGGAAAACAGTTGAAACTAATTTTCGGTACTTCACTTACAAAAGAATTCGCAATATGAAGAACTTGGAGCATTTTTTACGTTCTTTGGCAAATTACGCTCTGTCAGCCATAACTTTTACCTTGAAATCAAGACGCCTACACATGGGCGTAGCCAGGTAGGGGCAGGGGGGTGCTCGAGCCCCCCCTAACTTTCAAATTTTCCTTATATATAAATAAAATAGTACCCTGAAATGCCAGCTTAATAGGGTCGAGCCCCCCCCTAAATTTTATTCTGGCTACGCCGATGCGCCTACACCATTTTAGGAATCAATTTATATTTTAAATTGCATTGTCATCGTGATTGTAACCATGCTCAAAGTTTCAAGCCTCTAGATCGATTAGAAATTTCCGCGGGATGAGCAAGTTAAATAAAAGCGTGTAATATAAACATAAGGTGTAATATAGTACTCGTAGTATCTGTATACATATGTATGTGTGAAATAAGTAATCTTTGCCAACTTTGTTCTTTAAAAGCGAACCACCGTCATACAACGGTTTCCGATTACTGTTCTATACCACAATTATCAAAAAAGGGTACGGCGGTTTGCAACGTGAAACGTGAAAAAAGACGGAGTTGGTTATTAACTTAAACCTTTATTTTATATGATTTAATAAAGCCAGTTTAATATTACAATGAATAAGATAATCTATTTACAACTTTTATACGTTCACATTGTATGTATGTATATCCTAAAAATTCATCATTTTAATAACCCTTTGCCATTTGATTTTAAGACATACAAAACCGAAATTAAATATTACGTTATTGTAAATATACATAGTGCTACTGTTGGGTATAAAACTTTTGCAGAGTAACTAAGAAAACTTCCATACATAATTGAACACAAACTATAAGACATTTACTAATAATAAATACTTTTTATAAATCTTCCATTTTTGGCCGCGGTTATAGACTGTATTAACATAATAAATTATAATTTTCTGTTAATAAAAAATTTAGAGGTATAAGTGGATGCTTTTTTAGTTTGTTGTTGTTTTTCAATAGGCAAATAAAATTATGTAAAAATATGTCTCTTCTGATTCGTGCTCGGTTTATGATTCATTGCGATTCTTGGAAATGGGGAGTTATAAAATAAGTTTTGACAATGTTTTCATGAAATTTGTTATGTAATTAAACTTTCATGCAATAGAATTATTGTTTATGCATACGTAGTGCTGACACTTACATACATATCGTCGCCTGGATAAAAGGTTGTCGTAAGTGGTTTTATCAGTTTTTAGATACCTCTCTAAGTTTCCGTGATATTGACAAAAATTTTATCGATAATTTAGTACAAATTGAGTTAATAATGCAGTCATGCTAAATTAATAAAGATCTTTAAAATGGCGTCGCCTATATTTGGATATCTCATTTAGTTTCCGAGAAATTGAGTAAAAAGTATAGTTAAATTAGTAAACAAAATGTATCTCATTTCGTCGCATGTTGTTGTTGTTGTTTCTGTTCGCATGTCATACGAAGTGGTTGCAAAATTGTTGACAAATGTAGCATACAAAAAAAAATTTTACTAAAGAAAATCCTTCATAAATTGAAAAATAATTAACAATAAACAATAAAAATAAAATAATTTAAAAATTTCGTGAAGTAGTAACATTCTCTGGGACTTTGAAAACAATCTTTGAGGAACTGCATTCCAAACTTCAATTGGCATTTCCCAAAACCTGCCGAAAGCAACATACGACAATCTTTAATTCAGGCGACGATGTGTACATACATACATACATACATACATATTATATGTATGTACATATGTATGTACAAATGCTGGCGCGTTTGTGTTATTCAAATCGTAAAATTATATGTACAATTAAGTCAATCTTGTTTTTGCTAAACCATTCTTTGATACTTTTTCATCAGCACCTGTCATTAAAATTCTATCACTATTTCTTTTGCCAGTGTAGTATACAATATATAAATAGTATACAATCATTACACAAAAGACACACAGCAAACAGAAAGCTAAATCTTATCTCTTACGGCGCTTGCTTTTCTTCTTTGGCGCACATGACGGTGTGACTAAGCTGACGTTGGTTGAAACTGTTTGAGTTTGTGATGCACCTACTCCGTGGACAGATAGTTCTTGGTCGGGCGCGATTCGGCGGCTTTCCGTTTCCATATTACTTTCTTCAGCAGAAGATGTAGACGACGAGGTAGCAGCATCAATCGCAGCCATAAGATTTATTTTATGTTCGATTCTCTTGGTCTTCTGTTTTATGGGCGCATTAGTGTTTGCTGGGGTCAAGGGCAAAATGAAAATGTTGTCGTCTGAAGTGGTGGCTGGTATGGGGCCTTCGCTATCCGTCGTGGTAGTTGTGGAATTGGCTAGTGGCGAAGCAGTCGCATTTTGTGCTAATTCTAAAACAGTTATATTTTTAATTTTTGCTGGTACATCCTTGTTTTCTAGTTTAGATGGCATTGAACAGGGCACATCCCTTCTTACTCCTGCAAGTGTTTCTAAGTGAGAATCTGTCATGCCAATTAATGGGCGTAACTCTTCATCATCGTCGCGAGTTACAGACTCTTCTTCCTGCTGCTGCTTTATCTCCATTTGTTGTCGCTTCCGCCGTTGCTTTTTACTCATTTTTTTCTCTTCGATTACAATAATTTCTTCTGATGCAGAAGAATTTTCTGAGCTGGAAGATTTTTCATTTGTCGTAGCTGTGTTGGTTGTATTAGTTTCTTGAGAACTTTGTTCCAAACTCAAGTATTGTTCCTCATTCTCGTGCAGCAACTTATTCTCCGTTACTGTTGGGTCTCCACCACTTGGATTAGAGGTTATGGGACATTCTGTCGGCAATTTATCTTCATCACCTTCATAGTGCAGAGATCCGCATAAAGCGAAAATTAAATTTTGATGATTGATTCCACTGAGCGTAGATGTTGGTGCCATCTTCCGATCGCTCTTTGGATGTTCTTGCAAAGGACTGTCAAAATTAATCAAGCTCAATTGCTCTGCCAAATTATCTTTGACCTTTGAAAGAGGCTTAGATTCTTTATTTTTCAAAATTGTCGTATATGGAGACATTTCTAGAGGCTCCAAAACTGGTAATGGAGGCAAAGATTCTAGTGGTTGTAACGCAGAAAACGATTCGAAATTTGAAGAGCACTTGGTCCCACTCTTACAGCCGGCGCCTTCGCTTTTCTCCGTTGAGCTCTCCTTATTTTTAACAAACTTTTTAGTTTTACCGACAGCTCCTAAGGTTGGGTAGTTATCAATATGAGTGTCGGGGTGTGTTTTCGCGGTCTGAACAGTATTGAAAGTTTTCCAAACCGGATTCATTACTAAGGGCGGTTGTGAACCGGGATTAGTTTTCGATTTTGGCTCCAACAGTGGGAATACCTCATTTTCCTCCTTATAGACAACTGTACTGACTTCTTGTTCGAACGGTATTTTATTGTTTTTGCCAACTCCGTCGATAGAATCCTTTGTAACATAGTTTTTACTCGTTATCGGCAAAGTTTCAGCTGCACAAGTAGGTACAGCGACACTTACGACTATATTATCGCATTCTTGTGGCGTGTTTGCAGATTTTTTTGATTCTTTTTGTTCTTTCGTTGGCGTTCTTTTAGGTGAGCTAACAACTACTGGTGTTAATTTTGAATCACTATTTTTGTGCTTGCTTAGTTTATTGCTTACATCTTTCAAAGTTTTGTTTTCAGTGCATTTGGGTTTTGATTGTTTATTCTGTTGTATTGCTTCAGTAGTATCTATAACTTTAACAGTATATAAGCTATCACTTTCAGAGTGCTCTTCGTTTTGCTTGGGTGCTGCTTTCGGGGTTAATGATGCTGGTATGGTATTTTTCCGCAAATCGTGCGTGGCACAGCTTTGTGCAATTTTACTAGGTTCTTCACTTTCAAATTTCTCCTTAGACGTTACATCTGCCAACCTTTCCGGTTTCAAATCTGATTTATTACCTACTTTGACGGCCTTTTCAAAGTTTTTCGACAAGTCTTTTTTATCTAAAAGATTGTTTGATTTATTTGTGCTTTTGATATCGCCTTCGATTTCCGTAACGTTGACCTCTTGAAGCGGCGTGTCAATGGACACGTGTGATTTCGAAGCTATACTTAATTTTGTATGCTGATCTTCCGAGTCTGATATCTCAGCGAGCTCCAATGATTTTGGTAGTATTAAACATTGGGGAGACTCTTTGATTTTTTCTTCATGAAGATCAGATGAAAAATTATATTTCAACGACAATTCCTCGTTCCTTTCTGTCTGTTTAAACTTTTCTGTTTCAAGCTTTTTGGATTCATTCCCTTTTTTATCCGTTTTTTTTTAGCTTCATTCGATTTTAAATCCTTGCACGGGTTTTTATGAGACTCTTCTATTGATTGCTCTTTCCTTAGACCTTTAACATCTGATAAAGTTGGTTGCCTTCGATTCTTTACTACAGATAAAGGTGTCATTCTCTTGAATTCTATTACTTCTTCTTCCAATGATGACATACGTGTGACGCCTTTTTTTGTTTCATAATCATTGACTTTATTATTATTTACATTGTCTGCACGATTGCATTCAACATTATCATTATCTTGATTCATTTTCTCGTTTTTACCTTCCATACAGTTATATTTGGTATTTGGCGATGCTGTCGGCGTTTGTTTGTAGTCGAAGTTTTCTTTTTGCTGTTTTTGTTTTTTATCACTTTCGTTGGCTAAATCGCTGCCGATTGATTTCTTATTTTCCATCGAAAGGTCTTTTGCTTTCTTTAAATTTTGCGTCTTAATCTTCGCACTCTTTTCAATTTTTTCCCTTTTACTAAGTTCTGCATCAACTTCTTTTGCTATAACTGGGACAACAAGTTTATTTCTGATTAACTCTGGTGGTTTGCAAAATTCTTTATTCTCTCGCGCAGCCTCTTCTTCTGCCTTTCGATCCTTGTCATCGCAAAATATGGCCACCACGGGGCGAAACAAAGACTCATCACAGTTCTCATGTATAATGCATTCTTCGGCAGCTAATTGTGACACCACTTCATCAAGAATGTCCTTTTTAACCTCAGTCGAAATACCTGAAATCACAGTTGTTACAGTTCCCAGAGGATTAACCACTTTTTCTACAGAAGCTGTGGAAATTTTTGGAATTTCTGTTTGCTTCTTTAATGGATTTGAAAACAACCGAGTCGTCTTAGTTTTGTCGGAATCGACATCAGGAACTAAGTCCCAAAGACTTTTTGTAGCAAGTGATTCTGATGTCATGGCGGGAGAAGAAGAGGAATATAAACACATCGCTTTCGGGCTGAAATCTGAATCATCATCACCAATATCGGGATCTGCACGGGCATCATAGAAGGAAACACTATCAGACGGAGCGACCTCAGAGGCTAATCGACCTTCAATAGAAAGACAAAGGAAGAGAAGAAAAACAAAACATGTTGTGAGAAAGAAGCATTAACAAAAAGCCAAAGGCATTTTTCTTTGTAAATTAGTATTCGCGGTGCTGTGGTGTGGTGTTTACATATGAACACATTTTTATAGCCAATCATATTTTTATTTGCGCAATAATTATTTTTAATGTATGAACAAAAATTAATGTGTAGCAAAATGTGCAGCCGAAAATCGAATTGGGTGCAGTCGGAGCGGGAGTGAGAGGTATTCATTAACGCAAATGAATGCATTGCAAAGCAGCAAAACCTCAACAAACTCATATTCCTCCATACTCCAGTATAGAAATAAGCAAAGTTTTTGTATGTAGATTTAAATGGTAGATGCGTGCAGCACGAACCCCTAAGGAATGCATAGAAGAAAAATGCAAAAGCCTCAATCTAACGGTACGCGCTTAGGGATAAATAAAATACAAAAAAAAAAAAAAAATAACATCTCCAGTGTAAAACTACGGTCAGGGGTAATGTATTCATCTAAACGCATAAATGCCTCGTAGCCAAGTAAACCTCGTAAACTTACTTAATTTTGTATGGAAAATCGGTTTATTTACGAGGTTTGCGTTACTACGAGGCGTAATCGGCCAATTCTAAAACATTCTTAAAATGTTCCAAACAAAAAAGCTACATTCTAAACTGCGCCTATAAATTTTAAAGTTATCTAAATCATGTGATGTCTCTTGTGCTTAACTGTCGGTTATTTGTATTTGTATGCACCCAACGTGTTTTCCTGCCTTAGTGCTGATAAAACTCCTACCTTTGGAATTTTATTGAGATGAGGCTGTATCTCAGAATGCGGTTCAAAAACGCCCTATCTCAAACGAAAATGTGCTGAGGTAGGGCGAACTAGCTGCCGAGATAGGTCGATCTTCAACTCAGGTGTCGATTCCGTTCTAATATCTTTTAAAGTAATTTTCTTAATTTCAATTCATTTTAATTTATTTCGTTTGGGTTTCTACTCAAATTATTTTATTTATAGTGAATTTATTTTTTGGTTTAATTTTGTTTAAGAATTAAGGGATTCTGAAAATCACTATCGCTAATTTTGATCCCAACAATTTTTAAAACATGCAACATCTAGTATCATAAAGATAAGCTTAGAAATATGTACCACCATAAAGTGTATACCAATTTATAAATTTTGCTTATAGTTATGGTGGTTCATATACAATTTAACTGTTTTTGGAAGCAGAAACATTAAATATATTTAAAAAGAATTTTGGGGCGCTGAACCCGAATCAAATCGTCCAAAAAATAGTTCAGGTCATGTACTGGGTGGCGACGAATAACTGTTACCCAGTTTTTTTTGAAAAATACTTTTAATTTAATTTAATTAATTACATTGTAACCTTTGTTTGGGTTCACCAGCGGCAAACACTTTGAGAGAAAAGTGGAAGCGGCACGCAAGTCTTCGTCGGTTAATTTATTCCATATCATCTGTTAGAGCTGTCACAACCATCGATAGTATCGATACTATCGAAAATGTCGACACTATCGATAGTTTTGATTAAAAAAGTCAAAAAATTTAACACAACAACTTTTATTGAAAATGAGATCAGAATTGCGAAAATATGTCGATATTTTTGTTAAGGAGCAAAATTTTATCAACGATTTTTGGCTTAAAGCTGCATCTGCGCTCTGAAATATGTATGTTACTGTCGATAGTGATTACAAAACCATCGATGTTTTCGATAGTCAAAAACCATCGATACTATCGATGAGGTAGTGTCATCGATAATTTTCCAGCTCTATCTTCTGTAACTATAGGCTAATTTCCTCTGAGTCCTTTATACTCCCCCTTTTGTCCAACATAAGGCCTCATACTCAGAAATCGAATAGACTCAGAACTGATGACTAAGACGGCCATCCATTCGATC